GAATGCATCAAAAACAATTCCATCCATATTATGAGAGTTCATTGCTTTGTTCAGGGTAGTTGTTTGAAGAATAGCATCCATCTTTGACCCTCCTATTATTTTAGCCAGCAATGCTTTAATGTCTCTCACAGCCAAAAGTTTGCCCATAGTTTCTTCCTCAAATATTCTTATCCATTTGCCGGCACCCTCATTAATATTGGGGAGACGAGTGACCAACCCTTCGAGGTCCTGTGAGGCCCAGGGGACATACTGTCCCTGCGCTCCCTTGATTAAAATTGGGAGTTATAGCCAGTGGTCTGAGTGCCCCTTTTTTCTCTGCCCTGTTCCCATTTTCTGCTATCAAATAACTCCTCTCCTTCCTTCACCTCCTCTGTACTTTCAAACAACTTACTTCTGCCTCTTTTCAATCCTATTTACCTAGTACTTTTTCTGATTCTTTAATTTTCTCTTCTATTTCTTCTAACACTTCCTCAAATCTTGTTCTATCTTGGTTTATCATCTTCTCTAATGCTATGCGTGCCTGTCTATAGCATTCCATCCGTAAATATCCTTCACTTTCTTTTCTCTCTTGTCTCTTTGTTTTCACAGCTGGTTCCTTTTTTTCTTCCAACTCTCAGCTTTACTGGTCCTTCTATTTGCATTTCTCCAGTTGAATTTCTACTGTTCCCTTGAGGATTGTGACCTCTCCCTCTATGGCAAATAGGGGGGTGGCTCAGATAATAATCTTTCCTTTTTCTTCGTCTGCCCTACAGGGCTCTCGCTCTTTTACTGACAATTTCTCCCTTAACTCAGTAAAAAATCAGTGCCCAGCAGGAATTTCTGCCTACCCGTGCAGCCCTTTGAGCCTCATTACACCTTTTTCTTTCTCAAAGCGGTATCCGTAGGACTGGCACGCTTTCCTTTACTATATCTACTTCATTGCTGATTGCTGCCCTTTTAGGCCCAATCCACAATAAACACAGACCATTACACGTAATGTATTTCTGCCTACACCATCCAGTTTCAATTTAGGTTACCTATCAAGGCCTTCCCAATATTAAACCAAATCTGTGCATGCAGTTATTTCTTCTGGCATCAAAAACCCCTTTTTTACTTTATTTTTGTTTTTCACAGCTGGTTCCTTTTTTTCTTCCAACTCTCAGCTTTACTGGTCCTTCTATTTGCATTTCTCCAGTTGAATTTCTACTGTTCCCTTGAGGATTGTGACCTCTCCCTCTATGGCAAATAGGGGGGTGGCTCAGATAATAATCTTTCCTTTTTCTTCGTCTGCCTCTTTTAATATTTTTCTTGCCTGTTTTATATTTATTAATATGTCCTCCCCTTCCTTTTTGAACAGGGCTATCATTTCTTTTTCTTTTTCCCTTTTTGTTTCTCTTTTTTATCGTTGTTATTTCTTCTGGCATCAAAAACCCCTTTTTTACTTTATTTTTGTTATTTTTTTAATTTATTTTTAATTCTGGAAGAGCAGATTTTAAGTGTCCTTACCACTAAGAGCCGGCCAGCAAACAACACACACCAATTATATAAGCAAAATTGCTTACATATTCGGTGGCCACCGTTGTCGTGTGTTGCCTGTCTCAGCTAGCCCAAAGTGGCCGTCCACTCTTCTGCTCTTTTCCAGTCCCTTCGTGGTCGCCAATTTGTGGTGTCGTCTGATGCTCATCTTAGGAACCACACTCAGTCTTTGGTTTTGATGCCAGGAGATACATTTTATTACATCATTAATGAGAATAAAACGGAGATGCTCTCTGCAGCGAAACATCTCTAGAATGATCATCTTGTCTTCTTTTTATACAGTCTATCTATCTATCTATCTATCTATCTATCTATCTAGCAATGTTAGCAACATGCTAATCATATTTTCAAACTTCGAGCTTTTACAACTGCTTTAAACTTTCAGGCGAGGCTTTCTCAAGCCTAAAGTTTGTCTTGATGAACATTTTTTTTAATAAAACAGATAGTGCCGGTCCTTGATTCTGATTGGTTGAGCCGTGTTCGAAGCTGTTGTAAATTACTCTACAAACATACACCTTTGTTTACTTCTGTGTGTTGCTCGGCAACCACTTTGTTGGAACCACAACTGTTTCTGAGGAACTACATTGTTTGGTGGAAGAATACTGTTTTTATTAATATCATTACACTTTATTTGCTCTGTTTTATTTTGTGAAACCTTACTACGTATAAGGAATAACCGTTTTATAAAAGCAATAAGCCCCGTGAAGCTGTGGTTTACAGTGAATTTATAACAGCTAATGTTTTTTTTAACAACATAATCATAATCATAAAAACAATAAACATAGAGAGAGAAAAACATACATAGCTGTTCAAGTAAATGCTTGATTGTTTTGTATTTGTGTATTTAACAGTTTCATCTGTTGAAGAGCAAGAAACTGCGATCTGATCTTAATCTGTCGTGACGGTGAGAAAACTTCAGCTTCATCCTGGAATCTCTCAGTATCTCAGTTCAGACTGAACATGCTTGCTTACTGTAAAAGTCACATTTTAGGAGCGACTCCTTTTGGCATCTCACAGTTGTTAAAGTCAACATGAACCAGCATCACAACTCTTTTGACTTCTGAGTGAAACAGAATATTCAACGAGAAAATGTGTAGCGAAGACCTTGATTTGATCCATCAGGAATTAATCGGATTGTAAAAAAAAAAAAAAAAAAAGCTGTTATATACATTGCTTTGTTTATCTTTGGAATAGCTAAGAAATTAAATAATTTAGTAGATGCTTTGAATGTGGTCTTTGAAGGTCAGCTGGTCATTAAAGACTAACCGGGCGTTTCTTCAACTAGAGGCACTTTTATCCTTGTGAAGTTGAATAAAAAAAACTTGTTCAAAAGTTTGATCGTGGTCTCACATTAAATACTATTATGTATTTTAATTATTTTACTAGTGCTTAATTCAGGTACATTAATAGTTACCAGATAAGTCATATTTTTAAACTGTATTTTCATTGTTGAAGTTTAAAAGTCTGGGTGTGCGACAAGGAGGAAACAGTGATTTTGACACCTATAAGGAGGTTGAAAAGTATGAAAAAATCATAATAGAAAGGTAGTAAAAAGTTTTTAAGGTGGTTTTATTGTTAGTTTGACTAAGAAAGAGGAATTTGTCCAAAATTATATGTATTTTTATAAATATGACCAAAGAACATAAAAGTGCCCATAGTCTAAGAATCACCCAGCTGATCTGATTGGGATGATTATTGATGATTTTAGCTGGATGGTGAAGCTGTGCTGTATTGTTGGAGTGGCTGGAAAGATGAGAAAGTCAGTTTTCACTAGATTGAGTTGTAGATGATGGGTTTTCATGCTGAAATGTCCATCAGGCAGTCTGAGATTTGTGTAGTTACTGTGGGATCAAATTGTTGATGTTAGAAGTAGAGCTGTGTGTCATTAGCAGTGTTGGGCAAGTTACTTCCAAAATGTAATACATTATATATTACTAGTTACTGTCTTTTGAAAGTAATTAGTTACATTACAATATTACTGTCTCTGAATTGTAATGCGTTACACTACTTTTGAGTTACTTTTGAGTTACTTTCATGTATGTGTGTGCGTGAGGCGCCGGCGCGATCGAACAGCGGAAACAAACAACAAAAAAATACTCTGTTATTTTTGGTCATACAGATCATTTGAAACTGCAATGTGTTTACTTTATTTCTGTCATCTCGGTTTCCTTTCCCTGGACTTTCGTAGAGCGCCGCGCCACACAAATAGCATATGAACCAAACTCAGCAACATAGCCTATCTCTCAGTCTTTTCCTTTCGTTTTGTTAATCTGTTAATTTGGCTATTGAAGTCAAATATTTCGCACATTCATTCATTTTATATATAGGCTATGATTTAATAAAAACAGATTTTATTTTTAGTTAAACTTAATTTTTGTTGCTCGTCCGCCGTCTTTTTCTCTTCTCCGACCCCGCAGCTCTCTCTCCGATAGCTTAGTGTTAGTGGCACCAGTCCAGGTGTTTCCAGGTTTTACTCGTGCTATTTCTCCATGTTGAGAGTTTGGTGTTGCACATATTGCACCTGACTATGCATTCTTATCCTTTTCTCTGATGAACTGAAAATAACAGGAGTGTGTCCATCTCACAAATGTAGAATCCGTCTCTGCAGTCATCTCAACCATTTAATTCCAGCAACAGGAAATAGACAAACTATTTTACCCGCGGGATTTTTTTCTCTGGTGCTGTTTTGCGGTGTTGGTAAATTCACCACTTAATTTTGAGTTAAAATATGTTGTTGTAACTTGCGTTACTGAGATTGTAACGAGTAATAATATTACCCAAATTTGATTAGTAATGCGTTATATTACTGCGTTACAGCAAAACGTAATATACTACTGTAATATTATTACTTTTGTAATGCGTTACTCCCAACACTGGTCATTAGCATAGCAATACATAGCCTATCACACATCCCTATCGTAAAGCAGTTCAGTCCTAATATAAGTCTCAGTATAGCAACGCTATTTAGCCTCTGTGATGTTTGTTTGCTTCACAAATTATAACCACATGAATCCACTCTGTAATTTATAAGCATGTATATTCCTGATTCCTTAATGGAAGTCTTCTGACTTGTATCACTGATTTGTAGCAGATGCTTTGTAGGTTTTTCTTATTTTGAACTGTTCATGTTTCCTTTTTTAAAAAAAATAAAGAAACAGTGCCTTTTAAAATATTCTGGAGCTCATGCTTTCTTAAACATCCTTGTAGTGTCACAGTAAAAGCAAATGAACCATGATCTCTTACTGCAGTGAATCAGGTTTTACATGTCAATTATTAAGTATTTTGCACTTTGGAACAAAATGCTACTGTAATCTACAAAAATGATTACAGTTAGTATGTAACATTTATTTATTTATTTATTTATTTTGTATTTATTTTTTTTGTATCCACAGCCCAAGAATTCACATGTGATTATTTTTACACATCCTGTGGTTCTGACTGGAGTGTGAAAATGCTGCACACTAGTGAAGAGAACTGCTGGTTTTAGTGGCATTGATGGTTTGTGAACGCTACAGAACAGGAACACATGGTGTCAAATGCTGAATAGAGTTGTGAAACAAGAATAGCATTAATAGTTCTGAGAAATATTTGAGAAAATGTGACATTTGGCTTTTATAATGAATTTTAGTGTCTGAGCAACTGAGAAAACTGTAATAGGAATAGAGATTTACAAAAAAATATGATCAACAGTGATATTGACACTTCTCACGTAATTTAAATTTGTATGTGTTTCGTTTTTCTAACATTTCTCATTCTGCAAGAAGCACTAACAAAACAAGATCTGAAAACCACTGATATGAGCTTCTCTTCACACTGCATGTGGTTTATTTGGCATCACGGCAGCATCAACTAGAAATTCTCAGTAATGCGTAAAGTTATGCAAGCTGCTTATTCTTTCTCCTGTACTTCCTCTTTCACATCATTCTCTCAGTTAAATATTGATGCAGGTGTCTGATGTTGGCTATTTCTTTCTAAAAAATATTTTTAAGAAAAAAAAATAAAATAATGGTTGCTTTCTTCAGATTTGCTACAGTTTTAACCGACTGTGTCACTACTCAGTCAACAGTGCGAAACAGTGACCAGTGTAGTCTGCATTTCTTCCTTTTCAAATTAAGACGGTGGATTCATTAAGATAAACTGGAATTATAATCATTACATTTGTTTCAATTCACAGGTACACATATATCAGTGTCAGACTCAGCATCAACAGTGTCAGAGGCCTGATAGAATAGAATCAGATAGACATGAGCTCATAGTTGTGGTTTGGTTTGTTCTCTTTCAGCTCCAACACACTAACCACTGAGAGAAGAGCAGCAGTTGTACACTTTATTTTTGTCATGTAAATACATAAATACAGCTAATACCACCATTGCAATAAAGAACCATCAAAATATTGTTTCATTTCTCTCGTTCATTGAACACACCAGAATACAACTGTTCATAATAGCAAATAAATCCTGTTCAATTTAATACTGACTGGGTCATGACAACATTTCTGTAGAAAACTTGCATGTTAGTCAGTGTGACATTTTGTGAAAACATGTTACAAGATTATCAACTATCAAAAGATCTTCTGTAGCACATGGGGTACATTTGTACACTGTAAATGGTTGCTGTAAATTTGCTGGATGCCAGTAAGTTACTGTAAAAATGTTCACATTATTATTACTGTAATTGCATCTACAGTATCAGTACTGTAGAGTTTATTTTCATTTAGTTTAAATATTTGTTACCTGTAAAAAACAATCCAATTGTGGTACAGTACTTTTGTAAAAAAAAATCACAATAATGCATGAGCTTTAGTTCTGATAATATTCTTTTTAATTGTTGAACATTTTCTTTTTAAAAGTACAAATTACAAATTTTCAGCATCATCACTCCAGTCTTCAGTGTCCCATGATCCTTCAGAAATAATTCTAATATGCTGATAAACATTATTATTATTATTATTATTATTATCAATATTTAAAACAGTTGAGTACATTTTTTTCAGGATTCTTCGATGAATAGAAAGATTCAAAGATCAGCATTTATCCGAAATAAGCTTTTGTAACATTATACACTATACCATTCAATAGCCTGGAGTCAGTATAATTTTTTTGGGGAAAGAAATTATAGAAATTACTACTTTTATTTAGCAAGGATGCTTTCAATTGTTCAAACGTGATGATAAAGAGATTTAAAATGTTACAAAAGATTTCTAATTCAGATAAATGCTGTTCTTCTGAACTTTCTTTAAGATACCTGAAAAAATTCTACTCAGCTGTTTGAAAAAAAAAAATAATAATAATAATATTTTTTTGAGCAGCAAATCAGAATATTAGAATGATTTCTGAAGGATCATGTGACACTGAAGACTGGAGTAATGATGCTAAAAACTCAGCTTTGATCACAGAAATAAATTACATTATATTCAAATACAAAACAGTTATTTTAAATAGTAAAATTATTTCACAATATTAATGTTTTTACTGCACTTTGGATCAAATAAATGCAGGCTTGGTGAGCAGTAGAGAACTTGGTGTTTTTTAAAAACATAAAAAATCGTACTGTTCAATAACTTTTGACTGGTAGTGTAAATACAGGTGCATCTCAATAAATTAGAATGTCGTGGAAAAGTTCATTTATTTCAGTAATTCAACTCAAATTGTGAAACTTGTGTGTACAGTAAATTAACATACTTTCCAGAAGGCCAACAATTCATTAAAAATGTTTTTTTTTATTGGTCTTATGGAGTATTCTAATTTGTTGAGATAGTGAGTTGGTGGGTTTTTGTTAAATGTGAGCCAAAATCATCACAATTAAAAGAACCAAAGACTTAAACTACTTCAGTCTGTGTGCATTGAATTTATTTAATACACGAGTTTCACAATTTGAGTTGAATTACTGAAATAAATGAACTTTTCCACGACATTCTAATTTATTGAGATGCACCTGTAAAACAGTAAAAATTAGTTTGTGGTGTTGTGTTAAATTTCAGTAATTTTGACAGTCAAAGTTGACAAGCTCTCTGATGAGAAACAGCAGGATGGGATTCACACAGTGTCTACACTGGATGCGACAGTTGTCGTGTCGCGCTGCGCCGCAGCTAAAGTCTGTCTACACTGGATGCGACAAAGCGACCATTGAAAATCGTTTGAAATTTGTGTCAATATGTCATAAATACAGTAGAACGCAGCAGCAGTTTTCTGTTCACATCCAGTGTAGACAGCATCTCTGATTATAATGAGTTCTATAGTATTTTGTCGCGCCGTGCCACTCGCGTCCAGTGTAGACACGCGACAAAGCGACCATTGAAAATCGTTTGAAATTTGTGTCAATATGTCATAAATACAGTAGAACGCAGCAGCAGTTTTCTGTTGGGGATTTGTCGTGTCGCACCGCGCCACATCCAGTGTAGACAGCATCTCTGATTATAATGAGTTCTATAGTATTTTGTCGCGCCGTGCCACTCGCGTCCAGTGTAGACACGGTGTCAGGCTGCACCTTCTTTCCAGAATTCCAGGTGATCTGTGACTTTCAATGCATTTGGTGCCACAAAGGTTGACTCTCTGAATGAACCTGCAAGCACAAGAAAAAAAGCAATATTTTTCAAAGCAGTGTTTACAGAATTTGCCTCAACTGTCAAACTTGGTGCTGTATGCACTTTGACGTTAATAAAAACGTTATATACTACATCTGAACACACCTACAAGGAAGGTACATAATCCATCACATTCAAATTATTAAAGCTCCATTGTTTACAATGGATTCTCAATCAGTAGAGCAAAGTGCTGAAATAATGGGTTTGATTCCAGGTGCAATTCTACGGTGAGTGAATATCCGGGGCTTAGCCCATAGACATTAATGTATGTATCAGAATACATGGGATACACTTTAAATAAAATAGGCTATATGCTGAAAAGTTACATTGGCTAAGTGGCTTATTTTTTATTTTATTTTTTAAAGAGACAAGTATAATTAATTATAATTTGCACTTACAAATTGCATAAATAATATTATGAAATTAATGTTTTAAATATAAAATTTAGAACACAGAAATATGTAATGATAGAAAAATATAGAATGATAATTTTAAAAATAAGACTAAAATTACCAGTTGGTGGCAGCAAGCCACTGTCTTAATGACTGAATTGTTGAGTCATTTATTCAATTGATTAGTTCAAAACTACAAAATTAGTTCATCCAGGAATGAAATAAGAAACTGTTTTTATGTTTTATGAATGGGTCAGTGAATTACTGATTCAAGGTGTTCAAAAAAAGTAAATTAATTCTGTAATGAAACACTGCTGTGTGAAGAGATGCACAATATGGCTTTGTTTCGAACTGTTTTTGCAAAATAGAGCAAAAAGACAATTCTTCATGATTTAAATCACTTATTATTTTAATATTAACTATTATTAATATTAACTTCTTGTTCATTGAATTTTGTTGCCCTGACACTTAGTAAAACCTGCCACAGACCATGCTAAATGCTAACCAATCTGTTCATATAATCGCTCTAAATGCGTTTGTGTGTACTAGAAAGTCAGTGCATATAATAAGCCTACTATGATAAAAAATCTATATTTGATGCTATACAGTAACAATAATCTAATTTTGACAGATGGTGAGATCAGTATTATGAATTTATAGGCTACAGTAAGTTAAAGATACCTGAAGCAGCTGCATTTTGCTGTTTAAGTGCTGGTTTAATAGAAATAATTTTAATGCGCATGAAAACTCAATCTTGATGCGCACAAGACATTGTAACAAAAACATTTGGGGCTTCAGCCCCCTTAGCCCACCCCTAGCGCCACCCCTGTTAGACTCCCAGGGAATGAATAACTTAATAAAATGTGTACTTTAAATACAATGTAACTTGCTTTGGATAAAAGCATCTGGCAAATGCATAAATGTAAATGCAATGTAAAACAAAATGTATTTTGGGTTACCTAATTCTGCATTTCTGTCAAATGGACAGCTGGGTGTATGATGATTCTGCCCCTCATAGTCAGGATCCTGTTTTTTGCTTTCTTAACAGTGGTGTTTCTTAAAGCTGCAGTCCGTAACTTTTTTTGGTTAAAAATGATCCGAAATCAATATTTGAGCATGTACATAACCAACCATTGTTCAAAACTATCGCCTTACTTTAGCCCGATTCACAACGGTTAGCTTATAATAATGTTTTCTAATTTGAGTGGTACGGGTAGGCTTTCTCTGGAAATTCGAGCATGCTGCTGCATCATTACGTCACGTCTGTAAATATAAAGAAGTCTACCCGGCTACTAGGCTATCGCATGTGAGGATCCTGCAGGTGGCAAATCGTTTATAGCCTTTTCTCACGATCCTGCAGGTGGCAGATCGGTAGCCTTTTCTCACAGCAGCTGGAATAATTAAATGTATCATTTTGATGGCGGATTGTAATCCATAAAGGATTATGCGTTTATGAAACACATGTGAATGAAATTAAATTATATTGCCGTTTCAAATGTGCTTCTGATTACAGATAGCCTGAGATTACACAAGATTTGTATTTTAAAGACAACCAGTTCGAAGGGAGCATAATTTGCTTTTTAGGGACCGTCTCTAAAGTTACATACAACATTGGTACACACGTTTCTAACTTAAATAGTATTTGAAGAGAATTCCCTTACTTGCGATAAAGAGGCAGTGCAGAAAAGATAATATGCTTCTCTGTGTTTGGCTAACTGACTTTATTATCATACCAGTTGATGTTATCATCGATACTATGGCATTCAAAAGATGAGGCTCCAAAATACACCTCCGACGTTGCAGACGACATCCAGTCTAGAAACCTGAAAATAACAAACAAAAGAAGTAACGTTACTACAAAATACTGTGTAAAATCTCCACTGAAACAGCGGTGTTGCCTAACGCACTTTACCTCAGTATTTTACCTTAATTCACTTTTAAGGTTAAATAACAACTCGCCAGACGAGCTAACTTGCAGGGCAGCAGAACGTACAAACGTGTTTCTCGGTTTAACTAAAGTTTATTTCGACTAGTACAGGTGACCTTAACTTACTCACCAGTCGATGTTATCAGCGTTTTGGCGGCATTCCGGCCGTCAGTCAGAAAAAAAGGCTCCAACTCCCGACATGAAAAACGACACGATGAATAATGTTAGTTTGCTGTTAACAAGTGAAAACATCTTAAAATATCGAAGTTTTGCATAAAACAGAAATAATATACTAACCTTTTTGTCGAGTTAATTGTGAAACATTTCTCTTTTATCCTTTTACGTCCATTTCCACCAGACAGTCAAAAAATAAATCTCCCTTGCCACTGGTCAGTTTTTCGCGGGCAAGTTCACTATTGTAAATGTACAATAGTTTACTGTAAATGGATTTACAGTAGTGAAGAAATACAGTAGTGACCGTATATTTTCCCATAATCCTTTGCTGTTTACAGTAAACTACTGTATACACATTTTACAGTATCTTACTGTACATATTCCAGTAAAATACTGTTCAAATTACAAAAATCGGTTACAGTGTATGTCTTTAATCTGTCATGATGTTTCTAAAGATCTGACGGCAGGTTTCAGGAAGTCTTGAGTCCTTAAGACAGTCTGTGTCTTTAACCGTCTTTCATCATTCAGTCAGTATGGAGCTCAGTCAACTTCCTCTTGTGCTCTGTGAGTATTATTTTCTCTAAATGTATTTCAGTGGAATTGCTATTATATTATGTAAATGATCAAGTGTTTTAGTTTTCCTAGATTTTTGTCATTTCTTGCTGCTCTCAGAGTTTCAAACTTTTGTGCTTTATAATGGTGTTGAATCAGTTCTGTTGGTTTGTTTTGCAGTTATTGTCCCTGTTGTTGTAATATTCACTAGTACGCAGTTAGTAAGAGTTTGTCTTTATTCTTCTGCTCATGATCAGACTGTTGCCTTGAAGTTCCTGAAACAGTTCTCTGCTATGACCAAATCTATAAAATACCAGTCAGATGTTTTCATGTTTATCTATACACATATACAGTCCCCACACAATATCGTAATATTTGTTCATCTGTATAATTGTCAATTCATTGTTTACATTATAATGAGTTTTTCTCTTTGTGTTTTAGTACTGATTTCAAACATCTACTCTGGACATACTGAAGGTGAGTCAATTTGAGTCATATATTCTCAACACATATCAGTAATTCTACATTAACTGTTAGAAACCAACTGAGTTTTGAGAAATTACATATTATTTTGATTATAAATGCACCCTTTTAACAAGTTGAATTATTCATGTTACAATTCTCAGGTGTGACAAAACACACACAAAAAAACATCAGTCTATCTATCAAAAACAGCAGATATATTTCTTACATTCTTTGTGAAATCAAAATCAGAACAACAAGAGACAAGATCTACTCTTGGTAAACTCATGTTTCCATATTCTCAATGATTGTGTATTGACAGATCTTTTATAAATGACTATAACAGCTATAGAGAACAACACTCCAGTCTCATCTGATTTATCATGTGTGTTTTACAGACAAGCAAATGTGTTCATACAGTAAAAGCAGCTCATTATTTTTATTGTCAATTCAAGAGTTCGTCTTACAGACAATAAAGCAGGATGAATGGTATGCATATTTGGCCTGCTGTCCGGGGAGAGGGCTCCGAGCTCGGTAATTCCTCCCGAACCCGGGGTACTCTCCCTGTCCGGGGAGAGGGGTCGAAGCTCGGAATTTAGGCCAGACCCAGAGCGCTCCCCCCAAAAGATGCAATTAGCATGGGACAGCAGCCACAGTGGGGGGTTGATAACCCCCCAAAACTTGCAGAGCTTAAGGTTGGTGGGGTGCTGGACGTCGCTTGGAGTAGAATCATTGCGGTGGTATCTGGAAAGAGAATGTGGCTTCTGCGGAAGCGGGCACTGCTACGGCATCTGAAAGAGAATGTGGCTTCTGCGGAAGCGGGCACTGCTGCGGCATCTGAAAAGAGAATGTGGCTTCTGCGGAAGCGGGCACTGCTGCGGCATCTGAAAAGAGAATGTGGCTTCTGCGGAAGCGGGCACTGCTGCGGCATCTGAAAAGAGAATGTGGCTTCTACGGAAGCGGGCACTGCTGTGGCATCTGAAAAGATAATGTGGCTTCTATGGAAGCGGGCACTGCTGCGGCAGTGGGAAGTAGAAATTAATGGGAAGTAGAGATACAGGCTCCTATGGGAGCGGGCACTGATGTGGCAGTGGGAAGTAGAGATGAGTGGGAAGTAGAGATACAGGCTCCTGCGGAAGTGGGCTATGCGGTGGCATCTGAAAAGAGAAAGTGGTTTCTGCGGAAGCAGGTACTGCTGTGGCATCTGGAAAGAGAATGTGGCTTCTGTGGAAGCGGGTACTGCTGTGGCATCTGAAAAGATAAAGTGGCTTCTGCGGGAGCGGGCACTGCTGCGGCAGTGGGAAGTGAAGATACGGGCTCCTGCAGGAGTGGGCACTGTTATGTGAAATCTGAAAAGAGAAGGATGCTTCTGTGGAAGTGGGTATTGCTCCGTCATCTGAAAAGAAAACTTCTGTGGGAGCAGGTACTGCTACAGCATCTGAAAATGGGAGCGGGCACTGATGTGGCAGTGGGAAGTAGAGATGAGTGGGAAGTAGAGATACAGGCTCCTGCGGAAGTGGGCTATGCGGTGGCATCTGAAAAGAGAAAGTGGTTTCTGCGGAAGCAGGTACTGCTGTGGCATCTGGAAAGAGAATGTGGCTTCTGTGGAAGCGGGTACTGCTGTGGCATCTGAAAAGATAAAGTGGCTTCTGCGGGAGCGGGCACTGCTGCGGCAGTGGGAAGTGAAGATACGGGCTCCTGCAGGAGTGGGCACTGTTATGTGAAATCTGAAAAGAGAAGGATGCTTCTGTGGAAGTGGGTATTGCTCCGTCATCTGAAAAGAAAACTTCTGTGGGAGCAGGTACTGCTACAGCATCTGAAAAGAGAAAGTGGCTTCTGCGGAAGCGAGCACTGCTGCGGCAGTGGGAAGTAAAGGTATAGGCTCCTGCGGGAGCGGGTATGGCTGTGGTATCTGAAAAGAGAAAGTGGCTTCTGCGGAAGCGAGCAATGCTGCGGCAGTGGGAAGTAAAGATACAGGCTCCTGCGGGAGTGAGTACTGCTGCGGAATCTGAAAAGAGAAAGTGGCTTCTGTGGAAGCGGGCATTGCTACTGCATCTGCAAAGAGTACTACATTGACCGATAACTCGGTTACCAAATTAATCGTTAGTGACGGTCCTAGATGAGAGGTCTATGTCTGCACCTGCCAAGATCTGCGCTCAGATGTTGGGAGCCACTGGGGGTGGCTCTGAGGCGACATAATATAGTGGGACAGGCAGTGATGTTGCTGTGAAAATAGAATGTTGTGATTTTGAATGAAGTAGATAGCTGTGAGGGAGAGGAGCAGGGGCCGCGATTGTCAGCGGAGGCAGCCTCACGCTTAACTTGACCTATGGGCTAGTGTCTGCTATGGGAGCTGGAGGCCACTGAAAAGAAAAAGGGGTTAGAAATAACAGGAGGAAAAGACTGGGATGTGAGGGCCTGTGTTGCAAGCGGAAGCAGCTTCACGCTTTCTTCAGCCGCTGTAGGCCGCGGGAAAGGGGAGTGGTTTGTGATATCCTGAAGAGCCTGTGTAGTCTGCACCGCTAGCGGAGGCAGCCTTGCGCTAGAGTCTGCTATGGGACCTGGAGGTCGCTGAAAGGAAAAAAGTGTTATTAGAAAAGACTGAGATGCGTGGGCCTTTGTTGCAAGTGTAACCAGCTTCGTGCTTTCTTCAGCCCCTGTAGGTTGTGGGAAAGGGGAGTGTTTTGTGACATTTGGCGGGACATGCTGAAATGCCTGTGTAACTCGCAGTGTTGGCAACTTGGCAATTTGTTGCTAGATTAGCATTTTCTCAGACTACCCTAGCAACTTGTTTTTCAAAGCGCCTAGCAACAAATGTAGCTATTTATAAATGTATTTGGCAGCTTTTAAAAAGTAATAAAATGATAAAAGGCATACATTTCCTCTACCACACAAAAAGAAAAAAAAGTATTGAAGTAGCTTGCCAGCCGAGCGGCACATCAGCTGGTTTTGTACCTATGATTGTTAATCATTTACTGTTATCCACTGTGATCAACAGTGAAACGTTCCTCTTCCACTATTGATCTTATCTAAAAAACAAAAATTAATCTTATCCATCCATCTATTGAAATGCAATTTGTACTTTAATATGGCGTACGGCGCTGCGGCAGGAAGAACCGCGGTGAAAAGCTGAGCCGAAGCGGGAATCGAGTGAAGTCTTGCAGCAGTGAGATCTGGGGTGCGTCCCAGGTTTGCAGAAGGCCTGCCACTGCGACCCAATGCTCAGGGAGAGCCGGATCCCAGTGTTTCCCATTTTTTAACTAGTCTGTGGTGGCCCGCCACAGTCTAATCTGTCCCACCACAGTTTCGTAATAAACCGAAAATATATTGATGATGCTCCTCATTATAACATAAAAGGTATTTAACGTTTTGTTTGGTGCCATTGCTTTTGTTAAGTGTCCGTCAAACAAACTAAAGCGTATATGGCTTTATCCCCTCATCAAGTCTGTTTGCGCTGCTTGTTTCAATGCCGATCGCGCACTTTTTATCACGCGATCAGCTCATTATCCAGTGTTTCCCGCGTCTCAGAGCAACTCCTTTCACAGTGAATGCAGTGAAGTCTGTTTTTGAATGTGCTGTGAGTTTAGCGCGCATCTGAGAACGCAACGGTTTACAGTATTTCACTAGATTTGAAATGAGACACGTTAGTAAACCTGTTTTCACAGAAGTTGGTGTTTTCCGCCAAAATAAAATCTCAGCTGCAGTTTCCGCCAAAATAAAAGCAAAGTCAATTCACCAGCTCTTTTATTTGTTTAGTTTGCACACTGAACCTGTGTTGGAGCTCTTAATATTGAACTCTCAAAGTGCCCCAGATAGATACATTTATCTTTAAAATGTACACAATTTTCTTCCGGGGAAAATGGACCCCTAGAGGAACCGAGGCCCACCCACCACAGTCTTACAAAATCCTGTGGGAAACACTGGGATTCTGTGCGTGAGAATGTGGGTGTCCAACGCGGCGAGTTCAAGGCCTTGCATTATTCATGTGACAGTTCTGAGGTGTGACAAGAAACATTAGTCTGTATATATTTTTTTTCATTCTCTGTGGAATTAAAATCGAAACAGTGAGAGACAAGATCTTCTGTTGGAAAATTTTCACATCTCATGTTTCCAAATTCCCAATGATTGTGTATTGACAAATCTTTTATAAACGACTATAACAGCTATAGAGAGCAACACTCCAGTCTCATCTGTTTTAGCGTGTGTGTTTTACAGTCAAGCAAATGTGTTCATACAGCAAAAGCAGCACATTGTTTTCATTGTGAATTGTTGTCATTGCACAGAAAAACCAAAACCCACAGGGACCATTAAACCTGCTCAACATGTATTCAGAGGAGAGACAGTCACTCTCAGATGTGACATAAATGCTGAAGGAGTCACTAGCTGGAAGTACAGCTGGTATAAAGAAGATTCAACCGGTGTTTTCAGTGAACTACAGGAACACACATTCAGTCCTGTTACTGAGTTTGACGCAGGTAAATACTCCTGTTACGGAGTAGAGACAGACGGATCACGCAGATCACACATCAGTGATGAAGTTACACTGACAGTATCAGGTGAGTTTGATCAACTCTTCACATACACACACACGTTTAACATGTTATTAATGAGTGATTTCTCAACTTCAGTTCCCAGAGCAGTTTTAAGTGTTTCTCCACAGACGTGGTTGACTGAAGGAGATCCAGTGACTCTGATCTGTGAGGTTAACGGCTCCTCTACAGGCTGGACATTCAGCTGGTTCACTGAAACTGTCTCATCAGGTAAGATATAATGTGCTTCATGTATAACATCTGAATAAACTGGTTTCATAAAAACATATTATAGAGATTAAATATATTTAATCAGTCTGAATACTCTGATTATACCATCAAAGGTCTTTTATAAAACTCATGTAAAAATGTCTGCTCATTTCTTGAGGTAACTGCACTTTTTCACTTTATACAGACTACAGATATCGTTATGATCTGCTCTCAGACAGCAGCAGAGGAGCTGGAGGAAACTACACTGTCAGTTCTGCTGCTCCAAAACACACAGGAGTTTATGTGTGCAGAGCAGAGAGAGGAAAACCAGCCTATAACACAACCATCAGCAACACACAGTTAATATGTGTCACTGGTGAGTTTAAACTGAACCACAGAATGAGTGAGGAGGTCCTAAACAGACCAAACTAACCAGCAAAACCTTGAAAAACATTTAATTATAATGGTGTAAAATTGTCATGAAAAATATATAAACTAAACTATTGTGGCACAAAAGTGTTACTTACGTAAGTGGACTTGAGAGAACATAATCAAATAGGTGTAATAAAAATGTATAATCTGACCTATTTATTAAATAGTGTTTTTATTATAAAATTTATTTTAAATTTTTATGTTATTGACCACACCTTGATTATTACATTTGATTATATATATATATATATATATATATGGTATATATCATTGTGATTCTCAATATATCCAAAATTATTATTATTGTTGTTGTCTCCACATTGTTGATACATTCTTACCAGAGATGGGCACTCGAGTTAGTGACTCGGACTCGAGTCACTCAGTTAACTATAAATACTACTAGGTTCACACTGTACAGGCAAAGCAGAACTGAACAGAAGTTGAGTCTGGTTTCTCCCAAGGTTTTTTTTGTTTGTTTTGTTTTCTCCAAAAGTTACACCTTATGGAGGTTTTTGTCTTTGGCTTGCTTGCTGATGGCATAATTACATATTTTAATATTTTAAGGTGTAATTTTGTTTATGAAGTTTTAAATAGAACTGTCTTGACTTGATTTCTGAATTGTAGCTGTAATTGTCTTCTCAGGTGTTTCTCCTCCAGTCTCTCTGATCGTCAGTCCCAGCAGAACTCAACACTTCACATTAGTCTCTCTCTCTCTGAGCTGTGAGGACCAGACTAAATCTACTGGATGGACAGTGAGAAGATACACAGAGAGATGGGGGCTGGAAGATTGTTCATCATCAGTGTGGGGATCACAAACAGGATCTACTTGTACAATCAGCTCCACCATCCCATATGACACTGGAGTTTACTGGTGTGAGTCTGAATCTGGAGATAAACATCATCCTGTTAATATCACTGTACACTGTGAGTCTGTGTTTCTGTATTTTTCACAAAACCCTCATTTCTTGTTTCAGATTTAAATAGCCAGATTGTGATCTCAATTCAATCTTATTCCTAAATGACAATGAATCCACTAGACTAATAAACCTTTGACTATTAAACCATTGCTCAAAACATTGAGATTCTAAATGTATCCAGAATCGTGCAGTCATTTACCCACATGTCATGTTTATTTGTTTATATTTTTCATAACCCCCATGAGAAAATTTGTTATTATTATTTTTGTATTGATTATTGTAACTCTGTCCTATTTGGGTTACGTCTCACATTTTCCATAAGCTAGAACGTAGTCAACCTTTGACTTTTGTCATAAAAAATAATCATATCTTAAAACTCATATTTTTAAATAAGCTTTTCCTGATTAATTGTAATTTATGGGTTATCTTTATGTTGAATAGATGTTGCTTTGATTGTATTACTGTCTTGTAATTTATGATTGTCATCAAGTTGTAATGTGTTCTTGAGTGTTTTCAAAGGCACCTCTAAATAAAACGCATTATTATTATTATTATTATTATTGTTGTTGTTGTCTCCACATTGTTGTTACATTCTTACTATAATCTTACTATTTGTCAGTTGATGTTTGCTCTGTTTCTGTAGTTGGTGTGATTCTGGAGAGTCCTGTTCATCCTGTGACTGAAGGAGAAACTCTGACTCTACGCTGTTTAGATCAGTTTTCAACCCCACCAAACCTCAGAGCTGATTTCTATAAAGATGGATCACTCATCCAGAATCAAACTACAGAGATGATCATCTCTACTGTCTCAAAGTCACATGAGGGTTTCTACTACTGCAAACACCCAGAGAGAGGAGAGTCACCCAAGAGCTGGATCTCAGTCACAGGTGAGACTAGGAACTGTAAACACTATTGAAATGCTTCTGTATAATAAACAGCACTAATATGACTGTAAAATGTGTTCATCTCAGCTTCCTCCAGAAGATCAGGACCTGATGGTTTCGATCCAGTGATAGTTGGAGTGACTGCTGGACTGACTGTTATATTTTTGATCATTGTTTTTTTGGTCCTGCTGTGCCGCTACAGAAACAACAAAGGTTCATTTTCTGCCTTATTAACCCTTTGATGCACAACATGGGTCTAAAGTGACCCGACTGAGTTTATTTTTTCTATATCTTTGCAAGAAATTAATTTCATCAATTAATTCCATGAATTCCTCAATTAACTTGTTTTTGATCATCACAAATCCTTATTTTTTCTTTCTTACTTTCTGAATAAAACTCATTTTTGTGTCATTACCCTTCTAATGCACAACATGGGTCTAAAATGACCCGTATTCATTTCCTGTGTTATTTCAGTTATGGATTTCTTTGCTGAATCTCTGAAAAAATGTTTTCTGTCATTTATTATTCCAGATATGTTGTTTTTGACTTCCACAAATAATTTTGTTTATTTTTCTAAAATCACCCATATTTATTTCCTATGTTATTTCAATCATGCCTGAGTGATTCATTGCTGAATCTTTGAAAGAAATATATTTTCTCATTTATTATTCCAGGTATTCATTAAATATCTTGTTTTTGATTTCCACAAATCATTGTTTATTTTTCCTTTCTTTACTTCATAAAAAAAAACACGTTTTTGTATTTCTACATCAATTTTACACACATGGGTCAAAAATGACCCATATAGATCCCTTTGATATTTGCTTTTTTTTTTTGCAAGTAGGAACATTTACTGCAGAAAACTATTCACCTGCCCCACATTTCACAACTCAACATGGCTGCTTTTACGGAGCCCCTAAAGGGACATGGTGGTGGGAAAAAAAATTCGGGGTGGGAGGAATTTTTTTTTTGCGTTCTCTCGCAAAGATATTTGCGTTCCCTCGCAAAACTTTGCTTTCTCTCGCAAAGATATTTGCGTTCCCTTTTGCGTTCTCTCGCAAAGATATTTTGCGTTCCCTCGCAAAACTTTTGCGTTCTCTCGCAAAAGATATTTGCGTTTTGCGAGGGAACGCAAATATCTTTGCGAGAGAATGCAAAAGTTTTGCGAGGGAATGCAAAGTTTCTCGAGGGAACGCAAAAGTTTTGCGAGAGAACGCAAAAAATCTGACAAATATTTTTTCCTCCCACCCCAAATTTTTTCACTCAATCTGATTTTTTTCC